TAGGAGCAGCTTTTTAACTTTTGTATCCCTAGAGCCTGGCACAGGCCTGGCACCTGACAGGCATTCATAAGTGCCTACTGAATAACTGAGGCGAGAACCCGGAGCAGTGTTGAGATATAGAACAATACTCTCCCTACACCCCACAGAAGATGTCAGCTCTGGCCAACTAAATACCGTAACACAGGAGCAGCAGTCGACGTGCAGAGACCACCAGGAGGAATGTCAAAACTTTAGAACCTACCATATCTCACCTTTAGCACTTCATTAAAAAGACAGAACATCGAACCAGAAAGGACAGTGACTTGCACAAGGTCATAGGGGGAGTCGATGGTAAAGCCACTACTGGAGTCCATGTTTTCCCGTGGAAAATGAGGTCCAGAGAGACTAAAAGATGAAGTCAGTTAAAGAATGTGGTCTTTGGGACCAGCAGTTAGCGTAATGGCTATGTCGCTGGACACCCATGTAGTCGGCCATGGTTCGAGTCCCAGACTCAATGGCTTAAAACTCATGCCGGGTGCGTGTGCGTGCGTGCCCAAGATCCCGAGAGGAGAATGGAGGACAAGGGATTGCAGTGTGGCCATCCCCGCCCCCGGGGGTGATTTCTCGCTTTCTGTCTCTCTGTCTCTCTCTGTCTGTCTGGCGAGCATGCACACCCAATAGCAAAAACCTCTCCAAAAAAAAAGTGGTCTTTGATGCTGCCCACCCAGAGCAGGACCTCATCCTGTGGCCCACGCCCTACTTGCCATTACTCTTGTAGCCGCCTTTGCTCCACTCTGACGAGTAGTCACGAATGTGCCGTCCCCAGGTCCAGGGGGTCCTTCTCTCTACCTCAGGAGTTTCTATTCGTCCTCTGGGAACAGCCCTCAGAATTCAAGAAGCTGGTCCTTGTCACCCTGCCTCTTCTGAACTCTTCCAAACTCCTGCAGCACTCACGGTCGGCACTGCCCATCACTGTTCATGAACCTGTCTCTCTCCTGCAACGTAAAGCCCTTGAGGATGGGGGCTCTCACCAGCTGAGCAGTTGTCTCTGCGCTCATCCTTGGTTTCCTCATCTCTAAAGTGGGAAGGATAGTAAAACTTACACACCAAACAGCTTTAAAGGGTAAATGATGGCTATAGAATTGCTTTGTTTAAGGGGTCAGCAGGTGGCGTGGTGGTTGAGGCACCGGACGCCCATGTGCTGAGCACAGTTTCAGTCCTGGACCTGGAGGTGTGAAAATCACACAGGGTACCATGCATATGCCTAAAAACCCCAAGGAGAATGGAGGAGAAGGGACTATAGCACAGCCATGCCCACTGGGAAAGTGCCTTTTCACTCTCTCTCCCTGCCCGTCCAGTAAGTGCATGCATCCTCTGGCAAAGACCTAACGGGGAGCGGGGAGGGGAGGACTTGCTTCGTTCAAGCTATAGCTGTCTTTTTTTCTTTTTTTTTTTTGAAGAGAGGTTTTTGCTAGAGGGCACATATCCTCTCCGGAAAGACAGAGAGACAAGTGAAAAATCAACCCCAGTGGGGACAGCCACATAGCAATCCCTTCTCCTCTATTCTCCTCTTGGCATCTTGGGCACGCACAACACGTGCCCAGCTTGAGTTTAAGCCACGGGGTCTGGGACTCAAACTGCAGTCAACTACGTGGGAGTCCAGCGACATAGCCACTACACCATCTGCTGGTCCCTATAGCTGCTGTTTTTAATCACTGGCATTGTTATTTTATCTCGGTATCTCCCTCCCACCAACACCCCAGCACATACTTTTTAAAGAATACTAAGGCTACAGTAAACGTCATGAAAACCACCTTATCACAACAGTTGACTGTATGCCCCAGAACCTCATTCTGTTTGCTAATCATTTATCTGAACTGAACTGAAATTACCAAGACCTTCCCTGCCAGCTAACTGGCAATAGGGAACCTCCTTCTCATCACAGTTGAGTGTCTTTTATTTATTTATGTATTTATTTTTAGAGAGAGATTTTGTTATAGGGTGCGTGCGCTCACCAGAGAAACGGAGAGAGACAGAAAGCAAGAAAACATGCCCCAGCGGAGATGCCCACGCCACAATCCCTTCTCTTCCATTCTCCTCTCAGGATCTTGGGAACAGACGTGTATGTACTCGACATGAGTTTTAAGCCACCAGGTCCAGGCCTTGAACTGTGGTCAACTATGTGGGAGTCCAGCAACCTAACTGTTATGCCATCTACTGGTCCCAGTCGTGTATCTTTTAAGAACCATGGTGGAACCTGGATCCTAGAAAGGTATTTTGTAGATCATAAACGGGCCAGTTGTCTGATATTCCCTCTCCAGATAGAAAATTTAGTCTAGTTATGTTATTAATGGTGACAGCAATTTACTAAGCTCGTGCTATGTCCCAGGCGCTATGCTAAATGCTTTATGCACATCATCCCATTTAAACCCCACTACTCTGTAAGTAGGAACCAATTTCTCTCTCTCTCTCTCAGCAGATATACAAATTAATACTCAAGGGTGACATAATTCTCAGGTCACAGAGCCAAGAAATGGGCAAGTCAAATTTCAATTCAGTTCTTCTTAACAGAAATATCAGCTCTTTCCCCTTGACATATGTTCCTACACCCCTTATCCTTGTATTTTAAAATCCCTCGACCACTACTTCAGCACTGTAAAGGTGTAGAGCTTCTAATTATAAAGAGAACAGAAAAAGAAAAAAGTCCTCCAAATCTATTGGCTCTCTTCGTTATCTGAGTTGAACTCAGTGCCCAACTGAGAATCTGTGTTTAGAATATGACGACAGTCAAAGAGCACCTGAAAAAAGTAGGAAAGGAAACGAGAAAGAAGAAGGGGCACATGAGAATCCAGAAAGACACTCGAGTGAACAGCAGGGGACAAAATGTCGGAAGGACGGAAACATACTTTCAGGGCACAGTGTCCATTCCCCCTGAGGAAGGATGCTACACCAGAAAGTAAAGAAGGCCCCAACGCCAGTTAGCCAACAGGAGAGGCCTCGCAACTTCACAGTCCCCTCGAGGCAGGAAGGAGCGGCAACTCCGTCACTCCTCCTAAGCCATCAGGGACACCGAAGGGCCCGGCTCGGATAGGACGTTTTACCAGCCTTCAAGCAGCCAGGAAGAGCGCACTTTAAAAAGAAACTGATCAGCATTCCTGACAGGTCCCTCCGCACAAGCTCCTGCCCTGGGTAAAAGGGCAGACTCCTTTCTTAGGAAAAGGCTCCCACGCAGTGTGGCCACTCCAGCGTTCCTTCACCTAGGCTGGACGTTCCTAATCCAGGATGCCGGTCATCTCGGGGGCGCTTTTCCCAGGTGCCCAGAGCCCCCGTACAGGGATTCATAGGGACTGTTGAGCACCACTGTCTCGACGTGCCACCAAAAGATGTCAGCTCTGGCTAACTAAGCACAGTAACAGCACCGGGAGCAACACTCCAGGTGCAGAGGCCACTAGAGGGAAATGGAAACTTCAGAACTTGACGGGACCCACCAACACTTCATTAAAAAGACCGGAGCACTTTGAACTAGAAAGGACAGTGACTTGCACAAGGTCACAGGGAGAGTTGATGGCAAAGCCACTACTGGAGTCCCTGCAGTCCCTGCTTCCTGATTGCTGGCCCAGGGCTCTTATCATCCAATAACACAGACTCCCTCCTTTCCTGGGAAGCACTGCAGGCCTCCTATCCCCCTGCCAAGATAATCACCCCCAGAACCCCCCATCCCAGTCCCTCCTGCAGCCTAGTGAATTGCAGCTCAAATTAGCAAGTCCTGAGCAGGGGGCATTTTCTGGGAGGGTGCCCAGTCTGTGTGCTGCTGGTACTGATTAGGAGGGAAAAGAAGGGAGAACGAGGTGACATCCCACTGCGGGTCTAGAACCGGGTCCTGGGGGCAGTGGCAGTGAGCAGGCCGGCCGGGTAAGGGTGCGTGCAATGGCAACTCCCTTAGGTAACCGGTAAGCAGACCAGCAGCTGACACGGGCCTCTGGGAGAGACAGGAAGGGACCCACGGCGAATCTCAGTCCAAGCTGAGCCTCGGGGCTGACCCCTGGCAGGGTGGTACCGGAGCTGGGGAGCGGGCGCAGTTCCCCTGTGGTGTGACACCAATGCCCGGCTGAGGTTCGACCACACGATGCCCGGCCGCCCGTGAAGTGTCACCAGCGGCCGCACAGGCCTATCCCAACCGTGAGGTGGCACCAGTGCCCGGCAGAGGGCCAACGACACGGATGCTCGCGAGCCGCACAGGCGCCCGGCAGAGGCCTGGCAAGGATGCCGGGTCCGTGCGTGTTGTGGCACCAGTGTCCAGCAGAGGCTCAACGACACGGATGCCCGGCCTGCTCGTGAGCTGGCACAGGCGCCCGGCAGAGGCCTGACAACAAGGATGCCCGGTCTGCCGGTGGGAAGGCACCGGCGCCTTGCAGGTGCCAGATCTCGTGAGGAGACACCGGCGCCGGCGATAGGCCCGTGGTCCAGCCGGGTCAGCCGCCTCTGCCGCCCACCCCCAAGACAGCGGCCGGGGCGCCCCGTCTGCTGCCGCGGTCTCGAATGTCCCCCGCCGTGCTCCCGACCTGACTGACACTTGCCCCCGCCCCACCCTCAGGAACGCTGAGCGCCGGGTTCCTGACCACGCCCCCTTGCTGCGCCTCTATTGGGCAACGCCTACTCAGCTCTCTTCAAAAAAAAAGCGAAGCCCCACCCACCCCACGGCGTCTGATTGGGTCGAGGAGAGAGCTAGGTCACTGGAGTCCCCGTCAGGCGTAGCGGCACCTCCCCTAACCCGCCTCCGAACGGGACTCTCTGCATTTTGATTCATGTATATATTGGTCAATCTAAGAATACATACTGTTACTGGGTAGTAGGCGAGTCAATTACTCAAATAAGGGTGGGAAGGGGTGGGTCTAGGACTATCCCCGCCCATAGAAAGTGATGATTGGAAGAACGTTTGTTTTCTGTACGGCTGGTTGGTGTTAGGATGTGGTCACGTGACCCACCAACTTTCACCCAGGATGTTTTCCTCCTGACTTCCCCTTAGCAACCGAGTGGCGGCGCTTGGTTCCTCAGCAACCGGGCGACGCGTCTGCTACGTGGGACCAGCCGGTTAGCCCACGCTTAAGCAGGTGAGACCCGAGCTGAGGCTCCGGAGGACTCGCGCGCGCAGCCAGCGCCCGACTTACCTCTGTCCTGTGACCTTTTCCTCAGAGTCCAGCCGGCCCTTCTCATTTGTAAAGTGAACGCACAGGTCGCCTGCCAGCCACTTTTCCAGTCGCACACAGCCAGGACACTTTAGCCCTAGGCTTTTCAGGCCTTTGCATGAGAAAGACATGCTAACAGAGCATTTCACCGGGGGCAGGACTCCAGGGACTGCTTTTTAAAGAACTACTTATTGGAGTCAGCAGACGGCGTAGTGGTTACGTCGCTGGACTTCCACATGGTGGACTGAGGTTCAAGTCCCGGATGGTGGCTTGAAACACGCCCCGGGCGCGTGTGCGTGAGTGCCCAAGATCGCGAAAGGAGAATGGAGAAGGGAGTGCAACGTGGCCATCCCCCCTTGGTGGTGGTTTCTCGCTTTCCCTCTCACTGTCTCTGTCTCTCTGTCCAGTGAGTGCACACGCTGCCCTAAGGCAAAAAAAAACCTCTTAAGAAAAAAAAGTATTTAATTTTATTTATTATTATTATTACTTTTAAATTTGGTCAGAAAGAGACAGAGAGAGAAGGGGAGAAAGTGAGAAAAAGCAAGCTGCCAGGTCTGAGACTCAAACTGTGATCAGCTATGTTGGAGTCCAGAGCCCTAACTACCTCATGCCTACCAGCCACCCCAGTTGAGAGTCTTTTTTTTCTGGCGAGGTTTTCGCTATAGGGCACGTGCGCTTGCCCGACAGAGAGAGACAGAGAAACAGCGAGAAATTACCCCCCACAGGGGATGGCCACTCCGCAATCCCTTCTCCTCCATTCTCCTCTTGGATCTTGGGCACGCACACACATGCACCCAGCGTGAGTTTTAAGCTACCGGGTCCGGGATGCAAACCACAATCAACTACATGGGAGTCTAGCGACATAGCTATTACGCTAACTGCTGGTCCCAGTTGAGGGACTTTTAAGGGATTCCCTCCTGCAGCCCCTTTCATAAAAGTAGGTCTGCTGATAACTTCTTTCAGAATTTAGCAATCAAGGAACCAGCACATGGTGAGGAAATTCAGGCAGCTGGATCCCGCATGACCCGCTATGGTTTGAATCCTGGACCCAGCCCTTGAGAATCAAGTTGGGGGATCAGCAGATGGCATAGTGGTTATGTTGCTGGACTCTCTTATCATCAGCTATGGTTGGAGTCCCAGACCCGGCAGCTTAAAACTCACAGCAGACATGTGCGTGTGTGCGTGTGTCTGTGTGTGTGTGTGCCCATGCCCAAAATCCCAAGAAGAATGGAAGAGAAGGGATTGCAGTGTGGCCATTCCTCCTGGGGGGTGATTTCTTGCTTTCTTGCTTTCCGTCTCTTTCTGTCTCCCCACTGGGTGCATGCACCCTATAGCAAAAACCTCTGTTAAAAAAAATTAATTTATTTAAAAAAAGAAAATCAAGTCAGGTGTGTGCGCATATATGCCCAACACCTGAAGAGAATGGAGAAGAGAATTGTGGTATGGCCATCCCCATGCGGGGTGACTTCTCTCTCTCTCCCCCTCTCCCCAGCAAGTGCTCGTGCCTTATACCAAAAACCAAACAAACCGGGATTTAGCAGTCACACCACTCTCTTTTTTTTTTTTTTTTTTTGAGAGATTTTCACTGTAGGGCGCGTGCGCTCGCCAGACAGACAGAGAGAGACAGAGAGACAGAAAGCGAGAAATCACCCCCCAGGGGGGATGGTCACGCCGCAATCCCTTCTCCTCCATTCTCCTCTCGGGATCTTGGGCACACACGCACACGCGCCCGGCGTGAGTTTTAAGTCACCGGGTCCGGGACGCGAACCACGGTCGACCACGTGGGAGTCCAGCGACATAGCCATTACGCCAACTGCTGGTTCGAGAGCATACCACTCTCTTAACGCTCATTGAACTATCCCATCTTGGGGCTGTATAGGGTGCTTGACAAGGAGCACGAGTATCTGAATTCCCCGCCTCTGCAGTAACTCACTAAGTAACTGTGGACAACATTTTTTCCTTCCCCGGTACCTCAGTTTCTCTGTGTGGGAAATAAGGACATTAGGACTCCCTTCTTTTTTTTTTTTTTTTTTTTGAGAGGTTTTTGCTGTAGGGCACATGTGCTCACTAGAGAGACAGAAAGTGAGAAATCACCCCTGAGGGGGAACGACCATGCCGCAATCCCTTCTCCTCCATTCTCCTCTCGGGATCTGGGGTGTGTACACACACACGCCCAGTGTGAGTTTAAGCCACCGGGTTCGGGACACGAACCGCGGTCGACTACGTGGGAGTCCAGCGACATAGCCATTACGCTAACTGCTGGTTCCCAGGACTCCCTTCTTTAAGGGCCTCCGGATCTGACATGAAATGAAATAGTGCAAGTGTGCTTCTTTCTGTAGATGGTCGCATTTCTTGTTAACTCATAGCCACTAAGGAGCTGTATTTTTCAGGTACAGTTGACCACAGGTGGTTATCGCCCAGGGGAATTCTGGACCTGCTTCCGGGCAAGGAAGCTCCTCTGCTGACAGTTGTGTAAGGCTCTCTGCTGCTTTCCCTGCCTCCCACCTCTGATCGTGGCCACCAACGCTGTCAGCAGGCACGTGACTGGAGGCACAGGTTGGTGGTAGCTCGCTGAGACACTCCAGAGGACTCTCTGGGCCCGGCCCTGCCCCGGACAGCTGCGCGGAACGTGTGCGGGGGCAGGCTCAGTCCTGAGTACCCCGAGCCGAGCTCTGTCGTGATTAGGAAGATGGGCTTGACCATGGACCACGGATGGGTGCATAAACGTGGGCAGGTGAATTGGCCCCTCTAGCTAGCCGTAGTTTCTTCCCTGGAAACGGGGTGATTAGATATTAGATTCCTAGGGACCGCTCTGTGGGACGGCGGTAATTCACTGCTCAAGGGAAGCTGCAGCCGACACAGTGACTGAGGTTTCAGTTCCCAGCCCCAGTCAGCCAGAAATACGCCAGGCGTGTGCTCAGGCCCCCAGACCCAATGGGCTGGAGGGTGGAGGGAGGGATCACAGTGGGACCAGATTCCCAGGAGGTGTTCCTCTTTCTCTCACTCTCATGTGTGTGCATATTCATTCTCTGTCGTGACTAAAGAAAACTTTTTTTTTTTTTTGAGAGGGAGATTTATTTGCTATAGGGCACACGTACTCCCCAGAGAGACAGAAAGCGAGAAATCATCCCCCCCAATGGGGAGGGCCATGCCACAATCCCTTCTCCTCCATTCTCCTCTCAGGATCTTGGGATTGCACGCACACGTTCCCCATGTGAATTTCAAGCCACCACGCCCCCGGTCCCCAGTTGAATTGCAAGCCACCAGGTCTGGGACTCAACCACAGTTGAACATGTGGGAGTTCAGTGCCTTAACCACTACACCATCTGCTGGCCCCAAGGAAAACCAGTTTTTTAAAATTGAAAACTTAAGTTTCTAGAAATTTCTCAGATTTACATCTGACCACCCCTTGGTCCTTAAAATAGAAACCTGGTCATGTCACTGCCCTTAGTAACCCTAGAAGCTTCCCAGGGACCCGAGAATAATAAGAAAATGCCTGCAGGCCTCGCCAACCTCGCAGTGCTTCTGCCAAAGTAGAACAGGTCTGTTCTCTCCTACCTCAGGGCTCTCACCAGGCAATTCCCTTTCCTTCTTTCCTACTCGTTGTTGAGATCAGCCCTGATGGGGGACCAGCAGTTAGCGTAATGGCTATGTTGCTGGACTCCCACGTAGTTGACCGCGGTTCGTGTCCCGGACCCGGTGGCTTAAAACCCACGCCGGGCACGTGTGCGTGCATGCCCAAGATCCCGAGAGGAGAATGGAAGAGGAGGGATTGCAGATCATCCCCTTGGGGGGTGATTTCTCACTTTCCTGTCTCTATGTCTCTCTCTGTCTGGCGAGCGCACACGCCCTATAGCAAAAACCTCTCCAAAAAAAAAAAAAAGAGATCAGCCCTGTCTCCCTGGCAGGCCAGGTCCCCCAATGTACGCCTACATACGAACCTCCCCATGGTTTGTAGTGAAATATCTGTGTGATTACTTGAAAGGGACGTGAGATCGATTTTATTCACAGCGTACAGTCGTTACTAAGTATGTGTGTGGACTTAACGCATCACCTCATGGCCTCACACCTACCTTTTACAGACGGAGAAGTGGAGGCTTGGACAGGGGATGTGACTGGATCCACACCTGCCGTGGGGTCCACAAATAGTGTGTGTGGCATCAATCCCACGGAGCACAGCAGTTGCTGCGTTTGCCTGGGGCAAGCTTGACCTGTCATAGCTGCCAAGACTTGATGAAGAGGGGAGGATGAGAGTTAAAGTTTTGAAATCAGAATTAAAAGTCATTTCTCAAAGTTAGCACTTAAAAAAAAAAAAAAGCCTAAACATTTTGCAGGGAACATATGCCAATATAACACATTAGAATTTCCAGAGTCAAATTTGTAGTAAATTATAGGAAGACTCACGGAAAACCACTCCAAAGGGGGCCGAATCAGTCACCCTGTGGGAGGGGAGCCCGTGTGGCGAGGTGGAGAGAGTGGGAAGGAAAGTCCAGAGGATGGGAGGCCCAGGTGAGAAGGGGTGGGTGTAGGCTACACCTTCTCTGGGAGTGGAAGGGAAGACTCAGAAGAGTCAAAGGCACTGCGACATGCAGTTGGGGCTGTCCAGGAGCAGCGAGCTGTGTCCACGGGGATGGGGGTGTGGAGAGGGCGGGCTCTAGGACCAGCCCGGGTTTGCAGTGGGCACCATCAGCCCCGCGCTGGGAGTCTCTGGCTATGTTCAGCAGAGTGAAAGCACGCACGCACGGACTGCCCAGCGTTGGGCACCAGCAAGACGCAGAGGACGGGGGTCCAGGGAGGCCCGGATGTTGGGGAGGCATACCCGCCAAGGTGTCTGGTGAGTCGGGCAAGGAGGGCTGGGCTTCCAGGCGGCCAGGAGGCAGAATCCCAGCCGACTGACAGGAGGGTGTGGCCTCCCACAGGGTCCAGCCCTCTGGACCTCCTCACCAAGAGGCTGTTAGGATGAGAATGAGGTCAGGCACCCAGGCTCCTGGGTTGTGGCTCTGCCCAGCCAGAAAGCAGTCCAGGTACCGCCTGACAGCGTGACTAGCCGAGTCCAAAACCCCTCCCTTCACCGACACCCTTGGCTTGTCTCAGCCAGGTCCCTCCCGGCCATTAGCAGACACCTGCTGGAGGCAGCTTCCAAAGAGGCTTTAGCGTGAGAAATCAGGAAGCTCTCTGTGAGGGCACACGGAGACTGCGTGAGCCTGGACCTAGGGACGGACGGACTGGAAAGCCATCAAGAAGGCAGCCTCTGCCTGTGTCCATCTGTCTGTCCTTCGCCTTTTTTTTCTGGATCACTCAGGTTCCCACCTCTGCTTCTCTCTCTCTTTTTATGTTTTGTTTTTGTTTTTGTTTTTGTTTTTGTTTTTGTTTTTGCCATAGGGCACATGTGCTCCACCTCAGAAGGGGTGGGATTTTGGACACACATGCACATGCGCCTGGCATGTTTTTCAGGCCGCTGGGTCTGGAATTTGAACCAGAGAGTCTGCCGTGTGAGATCTCGTGCCCTAACCACCACGCCACCTACTGCCCCCCACCTGTATTTTTGTTTGTTTGTTTTGAGAGAGATTTTTGCTGTAGGGTGCATGTGCTTGCTGGAGAGACAGAGAGACAGGAAGTAAGAAATCACCCCCCCCAAGGGGAATGTCCCCACCACAATCCCTTTCCCTCCATTCTCTTCTTGGGATTTGGGGCATACACACACATGCACCCGGCGTGAGTTTTAAGCCCCAGGATCTGGGACACAAACCATGGTCAACCGCATGGGAATCCAGCCATGCAGCATTACACCACCTGCTCGTCCCCCTCTCGCTCACTCGCTCGTCCCCCCACCTCTTTTTTTAATTTTTTTATTTTTTGGAGAGGTTTTTGCTATAGGGCGCGTGCGCTCTCCAGAAAGACAGAGAGAGACAGAAAGCGAGAAATCACCCCCCAGGGGGTTGACCACGCCGCAATCCCTTCTCCTCCATTCTCCTCTCAGGATCTTGGGCA